GCTTATTAAATGGTGAATAAGAGAGTTTCTCTGTCATCTCATTTTTTTTTTCAAATATTTATTTGTATAAATTAATTGTATAATTGTAATTACATAATATGACTTTCAAAAGCTGAAGTGATTACCTTAATTCATTTGTTAGAATAGGCCTATGTACTAAATATTTTAACTAATTGCAAAAGCTGAATAATCAATAAATGTCAACTGATTAATCAGAGGAATAATCGATGATTAGGCTATTAATCGGTCTAATAATCGTTAGATTAATCGATTACCAAAATAATCGTTTGTTGCAGCCCTATGTGATGAAATTACATCGGATAAAACAGGCCAGTTGAGATGAGTACAAACAACTGTGTTTGCCCAACTCTGAACTTTCTGATTGATATTTTTAGACAGTTCAAGCAAATGTATTGAATAGGGGTGTAAGAAAATATTGATACACGTGAGTATCGCGATATTTTGTTTGGTGATACTGTATCGATTCTCAAAAACGGAATATCGATATTTTCAAAAACAATCATACAAGATTCATGGCAGTTGTTTCGTTTTGAGTTTATATCCCGACCGCTAGATGGCAGTAGGGTTGTGACGGTGAGGACATTTTCCCACCGGTTAATCGCCGTGTGACAACACCGGTAATACCAGTATCACCGTGGGGGCGGGGGCGTTCCCTCTTTTTCTCGCTTTCCTTCGCTTTTAAATAGTTTGTAAAAGCGGCGTGCGCATTTTACTTTCACTTTGACTTTGAAATAGCGGCAATTCGGCGTAAAGCAATTGTTCGTTTTTAGTTCGTTTCAATTTTCCCTCTTTTCCTCGCTTTCCCTCACTTTTAAATAGCTTAAAAGCACCGTGCGCATTTTAAGGGTCGCCGCGCGGCTGCAGCCTTCTCTCGTGGTGGGGGTGTTTTGTGCAGTTGGGGCGGTGCTCACGTCGCGGTCTCGGCGATTCCACGCGGAACATAAATACAAACTGAAAAACCTGTGAAATCCAAGTGGAAAGGTTCTGAGAATGTTTAACATCTGTATTTATTTTATTGTTTTAAAATTGTTTTGTTTTCTTTAGAAATCCTGCAAGCACTTTATTTTTCATTGATATTAAGCAGATGTAATTATTTTGTTCAGATCAAAATGTTATGACATTGTATGTTACAATTGTAAAGTTAAAATGTGAACCTTTAAAGCAGGGTTTAAAAAAATATATGGTCTTTTTATAAAATACATATTATACATTTACAGCTTTCCTAAAAATATATCCTATTCCTAAAATAAGAAATATCGCCTTGCTTACAGTATCGCAACATATCATATCGCAACACCTGTATCGTGATACGCATCGTATCGCCAGATTCTTGCCAATACACAGCCCTAGTATTGAATATCCAAAATGTCTAATTGCTAGGGTTGGGTATCGAAAACCGGTTCTATTTTAGAACCGGTTCCAAATTTCCAAGAACCGGGTATTCGATAAGACACGTGCATTTCAATTCTGCTTAACGATTCCTGCGTTCACATTTTAATGTGATTAAAAAAGATTTAAGTGCAGGAACGGAAAGAACTTGCGCCCTGTTTGCGTGCAGCGCACATGAAGCACGAGCACAGAGAACAGAGGTCGCGGTACGGGTTCCCGGTTTGTGTCCGTTCTCGAACCGTTCCGTGTATTTCCACTGAAGAAAAGGTTGTTCCGGGCCGAAACTGACCTCTTTCATATTTGTCGACCAATATGCAGAAAACTACATCAGTATATCATCATAAACACAGCCGTTTTTATCTTACGTGAACGTAAACAGATGAGAAAGAAAACACACATGTACAGTATTTTTAGATCTGCGTGCAAACTAGGAATCAATAAGAATCGGAATCGATAAAATTCAAACGATACCCAACCCTACTAATTGCACTGAGAACATCCAAAAAGTCAGCACCAACATTTAATAATAGAAAAGCTTTATACCTCATCATCGCTGTCTGATGTCTCAGAGTCTGTGGAGGCGGCAGGTTTACTAACAGGCTCTTCCTGTTCATCAGAATCCACACGCTTTCTCTTGGCAAGAGACAGCAGTTCCTGCAAAAAGCAGAAGATTTACCGTTACAATTTTTCTCAAGCACCAAGTTAGATTCTTTGTACTTGGGGAATGCCCTCTTATTGTTGTTCATTAAAAAAAAAAAGAAAAGAAAAAACAAGTTGTCATGATGGAATATGTCCTCCTCCACAAAATGTTGCTTAATGTTTAATGCTTGTAGGGCAGGTGTGGTGGCAAAAATAATGCTGTACACCTTTTATGAAGAACAAATCTTTTTAATGAACCTGAATAGTGATCTGTGAGTGTGCCTGTCAGGGTGTCTGCTTATATTTTATGCTGAAGTACTAGAACACATAACACAGAGGGATTTGGGATAGCTATTATCCAACACTGGCAATGCTCTGACAACAACTATATGGCTAAATAAAGTCTAATGCACAGACAGATGTCAAACTCCACTGAGAATGGGGTTTTTAGTCCAATTATGACCTGTGTTTGAGAGCAATGGTACTTATTTAATCTGTTAGCATTCTTCTCAGCATATCATATGCATGCAACTCCAAAACACTTGCATTTCTGTATAGGTGTCAGTAATCACACTGCTGTTAGTGTTTGTGTTGATCTGTTTGGCTGCTAGCTGGCTAGCTCTGTAATTTGTCAACACCAGTGAAATGAAAATGAAGTGCACAGGTTGTTAAGATGTGCACTAGGGAGTGCTGCCTATAGGGGGCGTATCATGGTTCAAATTAATTTGTTCACCGGAGCAGGGGTTTCAAAATGGGGTCCGGGGACCCCAGGAGACTGTAAGGGAGTGCTAGGGTGTCTGTGGGAAATTTTAATGAAAAACTGTGTAAAATCTAACACTAAATACATAACAGAATGAAAATAAACAAATTATCATTATATAAAATAGGTAAATAAATAACTAAATTTAAAAAATAGAATAACAATTTGATTGAAAATGTGAATAAATTAGATATCAATAAAATAAATAAAAAATGAATAAAATGTAATCAAATAAATAAACAGACAAAATAAACAGTTCAGTACTATAGGTAGTAGAAAATAATGTAATATTGTAATTTAATAGAAACCAAATATTTTCCAAATAATATTTTAGACATTTATATTTTTTTCACAGAATAAATTGGGTCTTTATACAAGAAAATATATAGATGCCTTTTAGGCTTGCCGCGATAGACGGTGCTGATGGTGATACCGGTGTAAAGCCGCAACACCGGTTACGTCACTTGCCCACCGCGGCACCGACCCCCACCGTCGTTTTGATTTCTTATAGTAATAAAAATCATTTAGTTCAGTAAAAGAACAGACACTACAATTAAAAACTGAACGCGGCTGCTCAATGCAGCGTGCCGAACGACAGTCGCATCACAGATCAGATTTCATTTCTCCAGTGAGGAGAGTGAGTCGAGCTGACTGACAAGAAGAGTGAGGTGAGACAGACAAGACGATCGCGGATTATTTAGTTTCGAAACGAGATGCAAAAGCGCCTGTTTGGCAATATTTTGGATTTTGAAAAGCCTGTTGACTTTTGCTGTTTATCTAAGGTGATTTTAGAAGTTTTTTTAAACATTTGTTTCTTATTTAATTGGTTCCACATTGTTTGCTGATTTTTACTTTATTTAAACTTTGTGTCGTTTAATTTTTTTTTTGACATCAAGGTGTATGCCGTGCCTCCAAGCTTTCTTACTCGTTTTGCTAATAAAATATAAAATAAATTTTAGGATGGGGGTCCCTCACACAAGGATGATTATATTTTGTGGTCCATGGCTAAAAGATTGAAAACTCTGGTCACAGAGCAACTGAAATTTACAATTACAGTATTTATTACTTGCTTGATCATTAATTAAAAACGGAGTATTTGTAAAAAGAGTAAATGCTTCTAATGACTAAATGAACTGTAAAACTGTCAACCCTGATACCCGGCATACCTACATAAAAACATTTTCATTTTGCTTGACATGGCACAAATCAATTTATTATTTATTCTTAAAATAAAAAGTAACTTTAAGAGAAAAAAAACAATGGCCAAATGGCCATTGGCCGTTTATAGCACATCATAAAACACATCTGGTTTTAACTCTTTTGACAAAACAGTACATTTTATTACTTAAATATGTCCCCATATTCTAATTTTCAAGTATCATGTGACTTTAACTGCCCAATTAAAAAGCTGCTTTCTGGGACGTGTTTTAGAGCCTTCAGTCCGCTCTAGTCTCTCGTCATATTTCTACAGCTACAACCGAAATAGAAGTTTAGCCGCGGTGCTGTGACGTCATGAGGCAGAAAAGGTTCTAAACGCACGCGGCCACTTTTGTAAAGCCGAATTACCCCGTGCTGCAGGCGACAATAAAAAGCACGTCAAATATGTAAAATTCACGTGTAGTTGTCTCAAAACCTACACGACGCCACAATACAGGCCCCTGCTAACCAGCTAGCTTTCCCACATCACTTAGCATTGGGACTTCAACACACACATACAGTTCTGACACCTTAGCGTCTCAGAGATCGGTAAACAGCGAGGTTTTTGGATCACATTCACATGAATGATATTCCTACCTGATCCAAATTATCATCGCTTGCACTATCCTCCGAGTCAGAGTCAATCACGACCCGACCTTTCCGTTTCTTTACATTCACCATGGTTAGCTGCCTGGCTCTCCTGTGTGTGTTTAAACAGCAGGTGCCGCACTCCTCCACACAAAGGCGCTAGAGCTACACCACGCATGCGCACACGTCACTCCCATAAACATCGACTACATATACAGCATCAGAAATGTACTGTATCTAATAATTATACTTTATATATATACATACAATTGGCGGAAATCATAATGATATTTGTTAATCGCTAAATGTGATGTGCGCGGGAATCAACTGCGAGAGATATTTGTTGTTGGTTAGGACCATAAGCACGTGTGCTTGTTCCAGGTAAGGACAGATTATATGACGGACCGTAATGGCATGTTTGAGTGTCACAAATGAGTAGTTAGACGTAGTTGCTTTTCAAGCCATGTTTTAGGTTTATTCATTCATTTATGAATTTTCAACTATGATAAACGTGGTTACACTCGGTTTTTTAACATAGCTGTAACATGTAACTGTCACTAAACAGCACGCAGTGGCTCTTGTTGACTTGTGAATGTCATATAAAGTCAAAGGAGATTTATTCCTATTGCTCATTCAAGTAAACGTGTAAGGGTTTGCAACAAAAAGAGATGACTGTAAGATATCCAGGGGCTATCTACATTTATTATGTGCCGTTGTGGTGCTCTTTAGACCAGGGGTTTCAAGTCCTTTAGATGCCACCAAATATGATCGTCCTCACGCAGGAGACCCTAATCCTAAAATTTAAAAGGCAGCCATATAGTTTCATCTATAAAGACCTCATTTATGCTAATTTATAATAATAGTATAATAATAATTTACATTGAAATGCCATTAAACCAATTTAAAATATTATTTGGAAAATATTTAGTGTTTAAGTGTAATATTTAGTGTTTTTTTTTTAAAAGCTCACTCTAGTACTGTACTGTTAAATATATATTTTTTTATAATTCATTTAAATCTAATTTGTATTTATTTATTTTATCTTTTTATTATTTACTTATTTTAATCTAAGTGTTGTTGTTATAATAATTATTTTCTTATTATTTTGTACTATTTATCTAATTATTTTAGACTATATAGACATTTAGAAACTATTTATTTGCCTTTTAAATTTTGGGATGGGAGTCCCTTGCATGAGGATGATTATATTTGGAGATCCGTGGCCAAACCCACGCCACAGAGCAACTAAAGATTTTAATTATTTATTCTTGCTATTTTGGATTATTAATCCATAACTGAATACTTGTAGAAATAAGTTCTTATTCCACCTTGCAGTGTAATGATTTGACAAAAGGCTACTAATGATTAAATGAACATGGACCACCTGTCACTTCCTTGTGACCCCTTGTTTGAAATCCCCTGCTTTAGATAATAGACATTTTGATTTGGATTAGTAAAAAACATTTGAATCCAGAAGTTCAACTGACATGATATATGATGGTAAATAAAAAAAGGCATTTCATTAAATATGATGTTTTCATTTTTTTTCAGGATTCTACTGGATGCCTGATCTGATCGCAAGAGCTACAACTAGCAAATGGCTGTGTCAACGACAACATTAAAAACTCTGTTTGGAGTTTATGGTGTCATTCACAGACAGACTCTGTTATTGCCATCTACCCTCAGATGCTCAGTTATACTGAGCACCAGGAGCATCTATGAGCGTGATTACCGCAGACCAGGCCAACCTCCAGACACCCGTTGGCCCTGGCAAAAGATACAATTTGATTTCTCCAAAGGTGTGGAGGGTATCAAGAAGCACATTGGGTTGTTGAAGGATGAGTTTGTCCAGCGCTGGACTGGACCTGAGGGAAGGCCGTTAATAGAGCACATGCTGGAACAGACACGTGTCCAGTGGGAGTTCCGTGGACCGGAGAGTCTCAATCAGTGGGTGGTGTCATCGGATCAGGAGATTGGGGGTCGCAGTGAGGCATACATCAAACTGGGCAAGAACAACAGCACATGTTTGCTGTATGGGACCTTGTGCTCCACGCCTCCCCGTGATGGAGAGACTCGATACAGTGGATACTGCACTCTGCGCTCCAAACAACCCCTGGTCAGTGCCGAGGTCCAACATCTCTCCATCTGATCTATAATTTGATTTCTTGTTCATCATCTTTTAGACGTCTTATGTATTTGTACTTGTGGGCAGTCATGGCCTAATGGTTAGAGAGTCGGACTTGTAACCTGAAGGTTGCGGATTCGAGTCTCGGTACCGACAGGAATTGTAGGTGGGGGGAGTGAATAACCAGCGCTCTCTTCCACCCTCAATACCTCGACTGAGGTGAGACCCTTGAGCAAGGCACCGAACCCCAACTGCTCCCCGGGCGCCACAGCAATATAGCTGCCCACTGCTCCGGGTGTGTGTTCAAGGTGTGCGTGTGCACTTGGATGGGTTAAATGCAGAGCACAAATTCCGAGTATGGGACACCATACTTGGCCACACGTCACTTCACTTTCTCACTTTCTTTCTCTTTTATTGATTCCTCTTTTCTTATTTCTGCATGGGTTAATAATGACTAATCTTTCTACAGGACATTGATAGCCACCAATTTTTTTTTTAATATTATGGAAAAGTGTAGATGAAACTGTAATATGATGACTTATTCCATTTAAAATTATATTTCCTTTGTTTATTAAACTCCATCTGATCTGTAAAAATTGCATGAAAAACAAGGTTTAGACATAATCTTGGATTTGCACTAGCATTCAAAAGTTTACTTTTTTTATTTTTTTTAAGAAATCTGTTATCCTCACCAAGGCTTTGATTAAAAACACATAAAAACAAAAATATTATTACGATTTAAAATAAATGTTTCTATTTTAATACATTTTAACATGTAATTTATTCCTGTGATGGAAAAGCTGAATTTTCAGCAGCCATGACTGCAGTGTCACATGATCCTTCAGAAATCATTAAAATGCTGATTTGGTACATATTAAGAAACATTTCGTATTATTATCACTGTTTAAAACAGTTGTGCTGCTTAATATTTTTGTGAAAACCTTGATTTTTTAAGATTATCTTGTCTTTGATGAATAGAAAGTTCAAAAGAGCAGTATTTATTTAAAATAGAAACTTTTGTAACATGAATGTCTTTGTCACTTTTGATCAATTTAATGCATCCTTGTAATAATATCCTTATAAGACTCCTAAAGTCAAACTTTTGGTAGTCTATAGGTGTGTTTTCAATTTAGAATTGTACAATTTATAAAGAAAAGTACATTGAGACACTATAATTCATGAGTTGCATGTTACATAATAAAGGGAGCAAGTGTTGAGAAACTCAGCTTTAGAGGTTGTTTATATCAATTTACATGCATTTAAAGTGAGCAGTAAAGGAGCAATAACATGTAAATTGGCCTTTAAAATAATTATTTTCTGTTGCAGGCCTCATTTGACAGAAAAAAGCAGTATGACTGGTCAAGTTTCAACACGTTACATATGCGTATCCGGGGAGATGGAAGACCGTGGATGATAACTGTGTCTGCTGAGACCTTTTTTTCTCATCAGAGAGATGACATCTACAGTTACTTCCTCTATACTAGAGGGGGACCCTACTGGCAGGATGTCAAGGCAGGTCTTAAGAAACTGAACATCAACACACTTCATCTGCAGTTCATATGAAAGTGCATCCAAATCTGTTTTACACTACTCTTTAAAAGTTTAGGGTCAGTAAGATTTTTTTTCCAAGTTTTTTTTTTTTTTTTTTTTTAAGTAATATATTTGTTTATTTAATTATTCAGCACAGAAACACTGAGAATTCCTGTTTCAAATAAATTCTGCTCTTATAAATTGTTTTATTATTCGGAATCATTTTAAGAAAATCTTAACCCCAAACATTTGAACGAAAGTAAAATTTAGTCCAAACGTATCTGTTAATTGTAAAACTTTTACAGATCCCGTTCTCCAAGTTTTTCCTTTCCAGCCGGGGAAGAATACAAGATGACCAGCATGTCCTCTGGTTAGATAAGGTCAGCATGGCTTTTGTGTCCTCATAGTTTATCTAGTAATGAGCATTTAATATTTGTTATTTTTCTCTGATGATATATTGCATTGTGATGCAAATTCATTATAACATACTTTAGACTCTTAAATCAAATCTTTTGTGTGTCCTTAGGTAAAGAGTATTGGTTTTACATTGGGGGATAAATCAGATGGCCCATTTCAGCTTGAGATTGACTTCATTGGTCTGTGCAATGACCTTGCCCACACAGAGGAGTTTGCATATGAGCTTTACAAGAGAAACCCAGAGGTCTAGTTGGATTAAACAAGATTCAGCAATCGTAGATAACAGACAGACACAGCTTTATTACTAAAAAAACTTAATTGGACATTTTTTGAAGGCTGAAATCTTTTACACATACACACACACACACAAATTACCACATTTAAGACAAAGTAGTACAAAATGATAATTTATGAATATCGCTCAAGTTCAAATAAACATTTTGTGTGACCAGTGTTTTGAGTGACTTTACTGTTTTTGTCTTTACAATAAATTGAAGCCCAGTGCAAATAACCATTCATACTAAATAAAATGCATAAGAAGCAAACACTTTCTTTTCACACATAAATCAAAAACAATTTAAAAACTATAAAACGTATATCTATAAATGGATTTAAAAAATGAAAGCTTTTGTTGGATGACCTAGCAAAAAAAAAAAAGCTTTTGGTTTTACATTGGGGGATAAATCAGATGGCCCATTTCAGCTTGAGATTGACTTCATTGGTCTGTGCAATGACCTTGCCCACACAGAGGAGTTTGCATATGAGCTTTACAAGAGAAACCCAGAGGTCTAGTTGGATTAAACAAGATTCAGCAATCGTAGATAACAGACAGACACAGCTTTATTAATAAAAAAACTTAATTGGACATTTTTTGAAGGCTGAAATCTTTTACACATACACACACACACACACAAATTACCACATTTAAGACAAAGTAGTACAAAATGATAATTTATGAATATCGCTCAAGTTCAAATAAACATTTTGTGTGACCAGTGTTTTGAGTGACTTTACTGTTTTTGTCTTTACAATAAATTGAAGCCCAGTGCAAATAACCATTCATACTAAATAAAATGCATAAGAAGCAAACACTTTCTTTTCACACATAAATCAAAAACAATTTAAAAACTATAAAACGTATATCTATAAATGGATTTAAAAAATGAAAGCTTTTGTTGGATGACCTAGCAAAAAAAAAAAAAAGCGTTTAGAGAAGAGCAAAATATGTACAAAAGTTTGGGGAAAAAAACAGACAAAAGCTAAACATGTACACTGAGTGTCTAAAATAACAACAGTAAAAACACTGGAGTTAGGCCATGACCAGACCTCGTCTAGCACCCAACATCACCTCTTTCTTCGTTTTTCGGTCTTCTGTGTGCTTGGCACGTCGCTCCTCTCTGAAAGTTAAAAGGAAAAACATATTCAATGTGGAGAAATTTCATTTAAGACAATGAGGCACAATAAATTCAAATGTACACTACAGTTTAAAAGTTTGGGGTCGGTAAGATCTAATTATCTAAATTATGCTCACTAAAGTTGCATTTATTTGACCAATACAGTAAAATCAGTAAGAGTGTGAAATATTATTAAAATTTAAAATCTCTCTAAAATGCTGATTTGCTGCTCAAGAAACATTTTTGTGGAAATCTTGATACATTTTTTCAGGATTCTTTGATGAATATAAAGTTCAAAAGAACGTTTATTTGAAATATAATTTTTTGTAACAATGTAAAAGTCCTTACTGTCACATTTGATCAATTAAATGTATCCTTGCTGAATAAAAGTATTAATTTCTTTAAAAAAAAAAATTTGACCCTAACCTTTTGAACAGCAGTGACTAATCAATGCACAACTAAAATAAGTCCCTCACCTGGTTTGAACTTGGTGCTGTTTATAGTTTTTCTGGTGTGAAGGAATAGTCTCAGATTTATTCAGTACTGTGTTCTCCTGTGGAGCTCCAAAAGGCTTCAGTTTTCCTGCAGAGATAAAAGACGACAATGCAAGCAGATACAATTCAATTCAAGGAAGCACTGCCTGGCATGTTAGTTCTGGGCATTTAATTCATATTTTTGTCTGAGTGTGGACATACCTTTGTGCGGTTTGTAGGCGAGTGGACGAGAGAGACTGGCCTTCAGATCAAATGCATTCTTCTTGGTCATACTAGGGGTGACCGACATACTGTTGTTCCCGTTAAAAACAAATGGAGTAACTTCTTCAAAAAAAAAAACTTCATTATTTATTTATTTTTTTATAAATGACTAGCGCAGTGTAATGGCATTCCTCTTACCAGGTGTTTTAATGGCACCAACACTTTTATTAAGTTCAGGTTTGGTATGAACATCAGATTTCCTCCCTGGAGTGGAAGTAAGAGGGATGAGAGGAGACATACGAGCTGGAGTCTTTACCAGCGAAAGCTTATATTCGTTATCGTGAGTGGTCTGCGAGAACCTAGAGATGGAAACGCAGCAGTTAAGTGATAAGTCAACATTTAAGTACAGCTGTAGAAATTTGTTATATATTAATAAATTATTTTCCATTTAAACACCACAATGCTTGGCTTTAGCACCTCAATTTCAATACTAAAAGTATTATAAACATAAGTGAATTAGAGCCCATTGATGTATTTACCTAACATTGATTTTATTAGTGGTGAGGACAGTTGGCCTGAAGGTGGCGCTGTCCTTCAAAGCAGACTTGCTGGCAGATTGCTGAGTGAGCCTGCGTTTTTCTGCCAATGTTTTTTTCTCTTGCACTCCAGGACTGAAGAGAGGCACTCGGCTAGAAGGCACCTTCTAACGGGAGACAATACCAAAGTTTGCTTATAATTCAGGTCGAAGTCTTCGAATTAAATTCTCATTTAACAAGATGTGAGATTCTGGATTTTTTTCCAGAGTTTTATTAAGATGTCACTATTTGACACATAACTTGATAAGGGCGTATATGAATTCACAGTGAATCATGAAGACACACAGACTGATACTACAGCTGATATTCGAGCTGTTTGGTGACTTACAGTTTGAGCCTTTGTTTCAACCGATTTCATCAGCGTCTTTTTGGACATAGTCTGAAATTACAAAAATAAATAAACCACTTATGAAGAAAACATTTGGAACTCAAACTACACTGTTCAAAACAGTGTTATTTTAGTTTTTTTTCTTCTTCATATTTTGAATTAGCTTTTATTCAGTTTTTTTTGTGTCAGTTATATATATATATATATATATATATATATATATATTTATTTTTTT